CCGATTGAATAGAACTAATGTTGGACTATTTGCAGGTAGCATGGCTCCTCACAAACGCCAAGCAACAGGTTCCTCCCCCAGCCGCCCGGCTACATCCAACACTGGGGGAAGGCCTCGAAAGTCGGCTGATACAAGGCCCTTCAATAGTCAAAAGTTCGTGTCCGCCAAGGCACATGACAGGTTTAACAAAAAAGAGGCCAAAACAATTGTGCTGGAACAGGCCATGGATCCAAATGCACTGGGGACGACCTGCCCAAATATACCATTCGAGTTGATGCGAAGGCACCTGGACATATTTTTTGAGTAGCCGATCACTGCCAATGTCATGCTTGTTAGGGAATTCTATGCGAATCTCCCAGAACATGAGGACTACACGGTCACAGTGCGCAAGAGACCGGTCAATGCTTCTTTGGAGACTATCCGGACTCTATACAGGCCTCCTTCACCAGCTCGGGGGTACGTGGATGCATACCAATCATACAGTGGAAAACATACTTCCTGGTCCACATTCACCGACACCATCTGCCAACCGGGAGCCAGTACAAATATGGGAATAAGTTCCACTCCTCAGCACTCAAGTTTGAGGCCAAATGCTGGTTGTACTTTATCAATAGCCGACTCCTACCCTCAAAGAACCTGTCAGAAGTGAATATCCCTCGAGGGTGCCTAATTTGGTGCTTCATGAATAATACTCCATTTGATGTGGCCAGGGTCATACACGATGAAAGTTCCAGTGGGTCCGGGTTCAAAGATATGGGTTATATTACCCGTCTCTTCTCACCCGGTTATGCCTTCGAGCCAATGTGCCAAGCAACCTTGCTTTAGATGGCCGATTTCCTGTGGTACATCCTTTCACGGCTGAGAGGGTGACCACAGGCAAGAAAGTGGTAGCTGCCGAGGAATTGATTGGCCATGATTCTGATGATGGTGATAACGCGGAGGAGGAGGAACAACAACAGGTAGCTAATGCTGAGGAGATTGTAGGTGATGAGCAGCCAGCTCAACCACATGCTGATGATGCTGCAGGCCCATCTAGGGCCAGTCGGGGACAGCGGTTAGACCGCATGGAGCAGGAGATAGTTGAAATACGGACCTCAGTGACTGACCTGGGGACTCGTGTTGATGAGATGGCCACCCAGCAGAAGAAATCAGAAAAATGCATCATGGGTTGGCTCCGTGCATTGGGTCGGGCGTGCAATGTCGACACCGGCTCTGTCTCCTACCAGGATTGAGCAGTCAGGGAAGTTCCCTTTCCCTTTTTTTGATTTACTTGGCCATGAGGACATGTCCTCAATTTAATTGTGGGGTGGGGATAGGGATACTTCATTGTATGTTTGTAATTGTAACAATTAACTGTTTTCTTTGGTTGTTTGTCTTGCTTTGATTGTGTTGGTGTTAGAACAATAGTCATTAGGTAAGTGAAAATAGTAAATGAATTGTCCCGACGACGGATCTCTTTCGACGGGGTTCTTGAGGGACTAAGTCGAGAAAAAAAAAATGGAATATAGAAACTCTTCCTGATGACGGAGACAATTTTCTTGAGGGAAGTTAGTCTAGAGAAAATACAAGAAAAAGAGATTTTTTATTTTATTTTTAGGTAGTGTAACAACTCCCCCCTTGGTTTTTCTTTGGGCCACGGTTCTTTTCCAAGGGTTTAGCTTGAACCGGGTATAGGTAGTTTTTGTTTTTGTTTTAGGTTAGGATTAATGGGCTACGAGCTAAAAATCGAAGGAAAAACCCTTAGCGTTTCTACACCTGAACACGATAGAAAATAGAGTGTAACGCTTAGCTTCAAGGGTTGAATCTTGTTTAAGTACCTTAAAAGTTGTATGTTTGTATCTAACTTGAACACTCAAAAGATAATGTCTTGATAAACTAATCCGGAGTGAGTCATGTGCCATGTGTGTGTGAGTGTTACTGTATTCCATGCTTTACATTTGATGCCTAGAACATGCCCTGTGTGTTTGCGAAATGAAATAGTAGCTTCATTCAGTTTTAGAAGTGATATATGCATTTCTTTGTTGAGCCAGACATATAAAGTAAACCCACCTAAATGCATTACATCTTAGTTAACCCCGTTGAGCCTATACCTGTTTCTTTGGCAACCACATTGTGAACCTTACCCAATTGTTTGAATAGCCTGCTGTTTGAACCCTTTCTCCTCTCACTAAGCACTAGAATAGTATTGAAAATATGCAAAAGCAAAAGTGTGGGGTGGTGGTTTGGTTTTTTCAAGTGGAACCATTGAAATAGAGAAAAGGTGCAGACTGTTGAAGCATAAAAAAGAGAAGCACCACAAAAAAAAAACTTGTATAGTGATTGATAAGTGGTAGCTTGTACAAAGTGCACCTAATGTATGGGGATGTTTAAATAAATGTGGTGGAGTGTTGGCTGACAAAACGATGATCTTGAAGTTAATGTAATTGTATTAAAAGTGCTTAGGGAGGTTAGTCACTATATCCAAATATATCCTACCCGTCCCTTAGCCTACATTACAACCAAATAAAGTCCTATTGATCTTGGACTGAGTGGGGCTCGATTAGTAGAGTACTACACTATGGGCAAGCCTATGGAGCATCTTTGTGGCATGTGAATGTTCTTTTTGAGAGCGAGCGAATTTTTTCTATCTTAGTTCCTAATTGTCCTAAATATCATTGTATGTGGAACTACTCTCTTGTGTGAGGTGAGGGCAAATGATTCACAACGGAAAGGTCAACTCTTGTAGAGAGTGGTTTGAGTAAGTGTGAATGTGCATGGTACGACAAATTTGATTCTTGAGGTAAAGTTGCTCACTACTAGGTGAAAATTCTGTAAAATGTTCATGGTGTGAGTCGTTAAGGGTAAATCTTAGAAAAGAAACCTTGTAGGATGTAGTGGCTCGAGGACTAGCTATGATTTAAGTGTGGGGTGTTGATAATAGGCTAAATTGTATAGTTTGGCCTACGTTCGGGCTCTAACTTAAGGATGCTTTATTATTGTAAGTGTACAAATAATGAAAAAAATTGGCTCTAATGATGACTTTGGTGTTTCACATGAGTGCAATAATCAAATGAGAACTTATGATGGTGATCCGGGCAAAATTTGGAATTAATGGACGAAAAAAGGAGCAAAGCTTGTTTGGGCAGTGGAAAACCCCAATAGCGCGGGCTTTAGCGCGCCCGCGCTAGTCCAGCATTCCGAAACAGAATGAAACCCCACTAGCACGGGCAGTAGCGCGGCCTTAGCGCGCCCGCGCTAGTCCAGATGCGGGAACAATGTTTTAAAAAGGGTAAATTCCGAAGTCCAAGCAAATCCACACAAACTATAAAAGGTTTAACAAGTCCAAGAGAGAAGGTAGTTCGAGTTTTTGAGAAGAAGCAAGAGAGGCAATGAGGCAACTTGGAAAAACAATTTTTATCTCCCTACTTTGTTCTTCTATCAATGACTATGAATTCTTTTGTAGTTTTCATCATTGTTATGAGTAGCTAAATACTTTTAATCTAAGGATTTGGTGAAACCCGTTGAGGATGACTTGGTTGTTATAATTATATAGATTTGAATTAGTTGTTAATCTCTATTTGTTTAACTACGTTTCGATTGTGGTTGATTGAAAGGATCCTCAATTAGCCGTTCCTAGTTATTATGTATCTGCTTGAGAGAGAGTGCATATTTAGGTAGTTGTTTGAACAACATCACTCCCGGAGTATAGATGAGAGTCATAACCGAGGGTTTAGAGGTTGGATTAGAGATAACGATACCTCGGGTGCAATCTAAGTGAACTGTAATGTGAATCTAGCTAGCGTAGCTTGAGAGAGTGCGTCTAGTAAATTATTATAATTGCTTGAGAGAGATTTATGATAGCTGGAGAGTTCATAATTGATAGAGGCAACTAAGTCACAGCTATAAGAAATATACAACCAAGGAAATCAACCATTGGGGAAACCATTACCTTAGACCTTATTCCAATTGTTTACACATCAAGCATAATTAATTTTCAGCTGTTTATTTATTTTTCAGTTTTAGTTGTTAGAAATATCATCAACTGTTAATCACAACGTTTGGGAAAATTGATTCTGTTGAACTTAGTAATTCCAACAAAAGTAATTGGTAGGTTAATTCCCTGTGTTTCGACTCTGGGCATACTCAGATTATATTTGCAATGCCCGCGTGTCTTTTTATAAGGCATAGTTTGGCGTTATCACCTTGTGTGCAGATTCAGTTATTTCTGAACCCGATAGTGGGTGTTGATTTCCTAGTGGCAGAGTCATTGGAGTTAGCAAGGTAGCTGCCCGACGTTTGCAACACTGCTTTTCTCCCTCTTGTCTTCCTTAGACGTATTTAGTACATATTTTTAGACTCTTAGTTGTATTCAGACCTTAGTAGATGCTCGTGACATGTGACACCCCGATGTTGGGCTGGTGTATTTATTCCGCACAGTTCATTTAGACTTACATTATGAGATATCTGATTAATTAAAGGCTTAAAGATGATTGTTATTGAATAAAAGGTTAAATTCGGGAGTTATGTCGGCTGACCTAGTTTCACGATAGGCGCCATCACGACTGGGTCATTTTTAGGGTCGTGACAAGTTGGTATCAGATCCTAGGTTACATAGGTCTCACGAGCCATGAGCAGGTTTAGTAGAGTCTTGCGGATCGGTACGGAAACGTCTGTACTTATCCTCGGGAGGCTGTAGAACCTATAGGAAATCCCACATTCTTGAATGCTTATCGTGCGACATTGATTCAGCTTGAAATGTAACTCTTTGAACTCTTTCCACATGTTCGTATACGCACATGAGCGCTCGGTATCAGCTGTGCATCGACGACTTGTGATTTCCCGAATTGAGGGGCGAGATGTGATTTCTGTGCAATGATGTTGGGCCAGTCTGGAGGACTTGAGGCCGGGTTTTGCCTAAAGCTTGAGCACTGAGGTGCTGATTGTGTGGGCGTGTTTTTGGATTTATATGTTCGATAGTGCCCCTATTAAGGGAAGTGATGACTGGATAGTTACGTGATGAGTGTGATGTGACTGCGAGATGTGTTCATCTGATTTGAATGAGACGAGAAGGGTCTTCTTTGGGGTAGCAAGAACTATCTGGTGTTTGATTTTCATCTTGGTTTGATATGTAGCCCCGAGTTATGGGTGTGTTGAAGGATCTTTTTGTGTGGTCTAGTTGTGGAATGAAGTAAACTCCACGTCGTGGGGTAAGTTCAGATTTAGGAAGGGTAAGTGATCGAGTAATAATATGATTATGGGGGAGTATGAAGAGATGTTAGTTTGAGGAAAAGCATGTGAGTTATCTCCTGCGGAGTGTTCTGAAGTTTGTGTGATCCTTTTTGCTGCACCCAAAGAACAAAATTAAGGATTGTGTTACATGGAATATTGATTGCATCCTATATGGCATCACTTGTTTTCTGTTGAATTGGCAATGTAACAGATGCCATAACTGAGATGCTATAAGGCAGTGGAGGAAAAGGTGGTCTGTATCTTCTGCATCATTGACGTAATTGGCTTGTGTGATGCATCATTACTCACAGCAGTCCAAAGTCCAAACGAAACAGATCAGTTTAAGGGGGCGCTGTGCTCGTCCAAATTAGCTCATATTTCTGGTGAAGATTCTGCAGATAGGAGGAACTTATGGCATGACTCACGTTAAGAGTTTTTATCTTTTTCCTTCTATGCCACGTCTGTATGATGATTAATGGAACGTGTAGTTTGAAACAGATCAATTAGGATGGTGGGAGACACGGTGGTAACAGGTAGTGATGATTGGACGGCACGAATCTGGTCTGTTTCTAGCGGACAATGTGATGCAGTGCCAGTGTGCCATGCTGGTCCAATTCTATGTGTGGAGCATTCTTCATCGGACAAAGGGATAATAACAGGCCATGACCAGTAAATAAAGCAGTATTCTGTTTGCGAATTTTCTTTTATTTTCTCAGGGTATTTTTATTTTTCATCAGTGTTGTTGATTGTAAAATCTTGAATGCTATGTTTTACATTACAAAAATGTTCTCAGGTTCAAGTGATGATCTCCTGGGGTTTTGGGAAAATGATGATGGTAAGATTGATTGTTTAATTCCTCTGAATGATTCACTCTCCCTGGTAAAATGGACAATTGGCATGCAGTGTCCCATAACAGGGAAAATGTTGAATTGCATGTGAATCCATCCATTGTAGTTTATTTCATCATAGTGACTCTTTTTTTCCCTTATTCCTAAATACTCGTAAAAAAACATCTGACTCCCTGATGGCTTTTGGAAAATCAAATTGTTCAGATAGATCACCCATCACTTTTTGCATTGCGAGTTGCGCTTTAGCTGGTTTATTCCCTGTTCTGTACTTGTGTATTAGATGCTAATATGTTGTAAGTGATTAATGGCATGTCTCTTTCAAATGTGAGGTTTTTCCACTGTAATATTAATGATAGTACAGCTGTGCCTGACCTTTTCTTTTATTTATTATTATCAAAAGAATCAGAACTCTCTATGTCCAATTTGATTTATGAAATTGTTCAAGCTTATTGTGACATCCTAAAGTTGGGAAGCATGAAAATAACCATAAGTTTAAAGAACTGAATTCATAAAATAATCTTAATCAACCCGTGATGAATTTTTTCTTATCAGATCAACAAAAGCCTATCACCAATTTAATATGGTCTTGTAATGCCACAAGTTTGATATTTTAGTCAGCCAGAGCTTCCTGAGAATTCTTGCTCCATGAATTGGAACTGACGGTGAAGTGTCATGGTTAACACATCAGATCTTACATGTCCCTTTGAGCAACCTGACTTCAGATTCCTCTGTAAGGAGATGGGGTTTTACTTCTTTTCTGGATGCCATAGCTAATATTGATTGTCAGATGTGCTATTAGTTTTGGAATCTGTCAAGTGATACAATCATACAATATTTTATGAACAATATGCTTCTTGCTTTGCTGGAAAGGTGATGTTTGGTGTGATGGTTGATATGGTTGACATTGGTAAACTTTCTTCTCGTCCACAAGGATGATTGGATGATAAACTGGTTGATTGACTTACTAAGGCTGTTTTTTTTTTTGTATATGTAGGTGGCATAAGGTGCATTAAGAAGGTTACTATCCATACTGCTTCAATATTGTCCATTGATGCTGGGGAACACTGGTTAGGAGTAGGGGCAGCCGACTTTCACCGTCCTCAAGAGAGACTAGGTGGCTTCTCCAGTGCTGGTTCAAAGATGGCTGGATTGCAGCTCTACAGAACACCTCAGAAAACAGCTGCAATGGTGTGTTTTTTTGTACCAATCCTGAACCTTTTTATGTCACCAAATTTATACGTGTTTTTTGCATCATTAATTCCCTTCTAGGAGAGAGAATGTGTTCAGTTGTTTGCACTATTAAGCCTTACTAGGAAGGCAAGAGTCCAATTCTTGACTTCTCAGCCACAAGAACTGCTAGCTAGTGATATTAATCACCAGCTAAGCATGCTGTTCATCTTTAGTTTTTGATCCATGTAATCTCGTTTGCCCTTCATGTAGGTTGCTGGGACTTGTAATCCTTGAATTTTTTTATTTTTTTTTGGGTTAAACTTAAATTTTTTATTTAACCAAGTATGTCAATATGTACAAGTGACTCATTGGACTCATGAGTCAGTTCTCAGTGTTCATACATCTAGCAACTATTCTATCTGTCCACTATCCAATATACTACTGGAACTATCAATGATAACAATCTCTACATTTTAGTGTTATACTGGGTAACTATTCAGACAATTCAGCTGCTGCTGATGCCACCAGCAAATTTTCTGCCCGTAAGTATGTAGCTGTAGTGTAATTTCCTTTATCAGCTGCCTGCTTTCTCTTCGTTGATTGCTGAATCTTCTTGCACCTCTCAGACCAGATTTGATATACACTTGCTGCAAAGAGGAATCCAATGATGCCTGCTCTTGCTCTGGAGTTATTGGTTCTCTTGGCTGCCCATTTTACTTCCTCTTCCTGATTGATCTCTTCTCCCCTACCCAGTGTAGCAATGTACTCCATATGAAATTTGAGTAGTCACAGTCAAAGAATAGGTGCTCCAATGTCTCCACTGCAGTTGTATTATACAAGACCCATTCCTGCACCACCTGAATCCCCCATTTGTGAAGTCTATCCACAGTGGACAACTTCTTATGAACTGTCAACCATAGAACGAATTGGTGTCTAGGAACTATTCCTTTGGCTAGGACCAAGCTTTTCCAGAAAACTTTCTGAAGTTGAGGTATGAAGGATTGATAGGCCTTCTTAATACTAAACTTCCCTCTTTCCTCAAATGCTTGAAGGCTGTCTAGTAGATTTCCAGATTGAGTCAGTCAGTCGGCCATTTCCTTGCCTTAAAGACCATCCTAACTAACCAGCTAGCTTGACTTGGGGTAGGCATGCTGTCCAGATCTCTTTCCTTTATGTAGATGCTATGAATCCAGTGCACCCATAATTTTCTTTCTTTTTACCAACTGTTAATAGCTTGCAAATTGCAGCTTTATTCCAGGTAAAGAAGTCCAATATATTCAATCCTCCTGCAACTTTAGGCATGCATACAGTGTTCCAGGCTACTAGAGCTCTTCTTGAGGATTCATTGCTACCAGTCCACAGGAAATTTCTGGAAACATTTGTCACCATATTCAAGATCTTCTTAGGCAATTGGAACACCTGGGCCCAATATGTCCGCATCACAAACAGTACACTTTTTATGAGCTGTACTCTTCCACTGTAGGATAGAAACTTGGTGGTCCAGCATTTAACAATTGTAATTATCTTTTCAACTAAAGGAAGGCATTGATGGATAGTAAGTTTCCTTGAAGACAATGGAATCCCCAGGTATTTGAATGGCATCTCTCCCATAGACAGGGGTGGATTTATAGGTTTAATAATGGGGCACGTGAACCCTTGGTCTCTCTGTAAAATTAGATATTTTATGTACATATTTAATAAAATTGATATAATATTAACTTTTGGCACCCATGCTCCAAGAAGGCTGAATGGTGCACTTGGTTGAAGGTTGAGTTATTTACCAAGAGGTTTAGGGATCAATTCCCACTAGATACTTCTTTTTCTCCATTTTTTAGTAGTGTACCCATGTACTAGAAATCCTAGATCCGCCTCTGCCCATAGAGAAGTGCATGTCTTGCATTAAATGCTTGCATCATTAGGGAAATAGAAATCTTATCAGCCCTACAACACATTAATAGGTCATTAGTCAAGCAAATGTGTGCTAATCCCCTGTTTGCACACGTGGGGTGATAATTGAAATTAGGATTGTGTCTGAGTTGCTTCAAGGACCTATTTAGATATTCCATAGCCAAGATAAATATATATGGGGACATGGGGTCCCCTTGTCTCAACCCCTCTTAGCATGAAATGTTGGAGTTAATCCACTATTCAACTTTAGTGAGCGGCTGACTGTAGATACACAAGTCATGATCAGATTTGTCATCTTTTGAGCAATTCCAAATTCCAGTAGAACCAGTGTCAGGAAGTCCCAATCCAGAGAATCATATGCCTGTATGAAATCCACCTTCACTAGACATAGGTGACACCCTTTTTTTGCATATCCTTTGACAAGCTCATGAGCAATAATCACATTGTCCAGGAAATTCCTACCTTCAATGAATGCAGACTGGGATGGCCCTACCAAATAATCAACCAGTCTTTAGTTTGGCAGTTAACAACTTTGCAATTATCTTGTAGACAGAGGTACAACATGCTATTGGTCTAAAATCTTTAGCATAAGTGGGATTAGAGACTTCAGGCACCAAAGTGATTGTGGTACAATTGACCTCTCTCAGCAGTTTACCATTATCAAAAATTGTAATATGGCATTAACAATGTCCTCTCCTACGGTCTCCCGGTGTTCTTTCTATGATAGAAGGGTACTTGGGGGTTGTTGCATGGTGATCCTTGAAAATGAATATGATTCACTGTGGTAGCAAAGACATGACATGCGATGGGAATGAACAAGTTAGAGAGCTTTTCAACAACTGAACTTTTCACATGAAAGAACGATACTTGGGGGTTGTTGCATTGTGATCTTTGAAAATGAATAGGAGCAAATAATACAGATGATTAATTTCTTTGGTGTAAATGAGAATTACAGTGACATGTATGTTCGCTGTGGTGACCTCTGAAATGCGATGAGAATAAACAATTTAGAAACATTTTGAACAACTACACTTTGCACCTATCTTCTTTGGCCAAGTAATCCCAAGAATATTGATAATTTCACTTTCTTCAGCAGTTCAACATATGTACTCAAGTCTCAATGTATGCTTACACATGCTTGTGAAATATTAGTTTGATCAGTACCGCCCTGTACTTGTTTACTTTATCATATGACACTATGTAAGCTTCACTTTGACCTGTGATCACTCTTGCTCTATTACATGCAGATATATCTTTAACCCAACTGGTTCTTTAAAATAATGATTTCTTCATTGCCCCCTGCTCTTTGTTTATGCTGCATTTGGGTTAAGAGGGTTTGAGGATGGGGGGGGGGGGGGGAGGGGGGGGGGGATAGTTAGTCTTCTTTCGTCAACTCTAGCAATCGTTTCCTTCATAGTGTGTGGTACAACTTGTAAGGAAACACATCTGGTTCCTTTTCTTCTCCTCTTATGAAAGAGAAGATGCAGCATACAAAATACAGGTTTGGTTGCTTAGTAAAGTATTAGACCTGTATTTTGTATGTATCCTGCATCATCTCTTTCATAAGGCTTCTCTTGATTTTGAAAGAGGTCAGATGGGGGTCTTCATGCAGAAGGGTGCTTCTTTGTTTAGTAAAATTATCATTGATAGTCTCCATAGAGAAGGGTGCTTCTTTGTTTAGTAAAATTATCATTGATATGTTAGGAAAAAGAAGGTTAGCGGCTTGCGTTTTGCCAAAATCATTTTGGCTTCCATCATGCGCCTTGTTTGCTCAGTTGACCAACCCTAGCCTTGCCCTGTCAGAAATGACAACTTAAGTCTCCACTATTCCAGTTTTCCTGTTTTAGTTTCTCTTCTAAAAAAATTTCTTGCCTTGCGTTGCTGCTTTGCAAAAGATTAGCAGTAGTATTAGATAATGTAACATTTTCTCCAAGTTTTGATGCCATCATCATTTATCTTCATGTACGATGTGTGGCCTCTGACCTTGAAAGGAAAAGGATTTATAGTGGTGGACGGAATGGGTTGCTTCGACTATGGGATGCTACGATAGACATCTAGGTTTTCATAATTGTACTTGCCTCGACGGTTTCAATGGATGATCACGAAGGCCTGTGGTTGGGTTGGTGACCTCCGTCTCACATGATAAGGGCGACTGTCGCATTTGCTAGAGGATTATATGTACAAGTTTGCTCTATTTTGTTCAGTTAGCCTCTATATACATGCGTTGCCCATATATCTTTGTATTAATTGTTACAAGCTCGTATATTCTTGAACGTTTGTTGAGTTATAAAATCTGTTTCAGAGATGTTTCTTTCAAAAATCTTAGCTCGATCAATTTATAGGGGCATCTTTATATGCTTTTACAAAGAACTATTTCTGTGATTTTTTTATGGCATTTAAAGTCGAGCATCTTTCTTTTGCTTTGTCCTATAACATTAAACTACTTTTTTGTTAAGGTAGGCTTAGTGTTTAATTCGATACAAATTATTAAATGCCATAAAGCAACAAGCATGTTCTCAAGGGTAAACTACCGAAAGAATATACTAATATAATGAAGAAATGAACCATCATGGCTTTGGAGCCACAGGTGGTGTTGGCGGCTTGGTTAGCCTAAGGCTGTATTGTGGGCCGGACCTGGGCCAAACGGGCCTAAACGGGCTGGGCCAAATGGGTCTGGGTTTTAGGCGGGCCAGGCTTGGCGGTCCCAGGCCAAACGGTCCCGGGCTTCACGGGTCCCAATGTGTGGAACCGGCCCATGGCGGTCCTAAGCCCACATGCTCCCGGGCTAAATGGGCCGGGCTCGCGGGCCTATACGGGCCTAATGGGCTTTTTTCGTTCCGCGCTTTTTTTTTTTAAATTTTTTTTATCTAAGACACTTTCTTGTAAACTATATATGTATATACTAATATAAATTGCTTATATATAGCTATATAAATATATATAGTATGTATATTATGTATATATAAGGGTGTATTATGTGTATATATTATTATTTATGCCTTATATACTATATATTGCCTTATACATATGTATGTATAGTTTATATATATATATATATATCAAATTTAAACACAAAATATTGCAAAGAGATATTCAAGGAAATAACTTATAATTTTTATTATTACGACATTAACAAAAATGGCAATATCTTTCTTAGTCTTCCCCTTCCCCCCAATGGAATGAGCACAACAAGGTGCTAATACTACCATTAAAAGGAAAAAAAACTAAAGAAGATGTGCCAAAGTACAAGTTACATATTAGTCTACATAGTATCTTTCATAAATCCTTCAAGGTTTGGAGGAATTTCCGTTGGTGGTGGCGGAAAAGAAGCTTGTTCATCACCGCTTCCGGGCGAAGCAGCCTCCTCCGTAAGTTCCGCTATCATTTCTTCATAAGCTTCGTCTATCTCCGGTTGTGTTTCAGCAAGTCCAAAATTTCTTCTTTCCGAACGGATCCAATCTCTGAAGAGTACTGATTTTTCCAAGCTCTCCCTCATAGACGCTCTATGATCACCTATTTGAAGTCTCGCTTGACTGAAAGCGCTCTCTGATGCCACTGTTGAAGCTTGAATACATAAAATATCCCGAGTCATCCTTGGAAGAACCGGAAAGTGTTTTTCTCTGGCCTTCCACCATTCCAAAAGATCAAAGGTGACGTCTGGATTCTCCTTTTCAAGGCCCTGCGATAAATAAACTTGAAGCTCATTTAGATGTGAAGTTTCATCAATATTTTCACCTTGAGAACCCCTGAAATCTGTCCAAGAACTAAGTGCTTTTAGGCCCGCATTTCTTTTAGATGATTGCGAACTAGACGAAGTAGGAGTTGGAACATATGGTCTAGCATGATCAAAGGCTTGTTGATAAGCATTATAAATTGTTTGAGCATTTATTTTAATTGAGGCTTTTGCATCTGCAAGTGTAGCTAATTCCTCATCTGAAAGATCTAAAGCCCTACAAATATTTGAATACCAAAAGTGAGGACCTGCTAATTTCATGGTAGGATTTAACATGGCAGCAACACCATAAATAGGGGGGATAGGGAAAAAATATTTTTTAAACTTTTCTTTCATTGCAGTTATAGCAACTTGATAAATTACCCCACCCTCTGAAAATTGAACAAACAAATCACATAGTGCTACAATATAAACTAAACAGTTTGAAATAGTAGGATAATATTACCCAGAAAATGCATTTGTAGCAATATGAAATTGTTCTAAAAAATCTATAAGAATTTTAACATTCGTCCAATCTTGATTTGTAAGGATTTCATCATCATCCTCGCCACCAACACGAGCATTAAACGTTGCATTTATTGGGTTTCTATATTCATATGCAACAACTAAGCTTTCGTACATATAATTCCATCTAGTCGGACAAGCTTTAGGAACCTTTCTTTCTTTAAGGCCAAATTCATCACATTTTTTAAAATATTCTCTAAGTCTACTTCTACGGTTTGAATAAAAAAGCCAATTAAGATCCATTTTAACCTTTTCATTTTCCAAATTTAAAATTTTTATACCATCACCGGCGATTAAATGGTAAACATGTCAAACACATCTAACATGGAAACAATTACTAAATGCAAAATTTAGTGTAGTTGTAAGTAAGCCTATAGCATTAGTGTTACTAGAAGCATTATCCATAGAAATTGCCATTATTTTATCTCTAATGCAAAAATATCTACAAATATCTGCAACTGTGTTAGCAATAAACTTACATGTGTGACGTGAATTAATTATTCTATAAGCAATAATGCGCTTTTGCATTATCCATTCTTCATCAATCCAATGACCGGTAACAATTAGATAATCACAATCATTGCCACTTCTACCAATATCAGTAGTAATAGCAATCAGACAATTTATATGAGTATATAAATAGCGCAAATATTGTTCATATTCATGTTTATATTTATAAATATCGCTTTTTACGGTTGCGCGAGGCCATCCTTTATAAGTAGGATTAAAATCTCTTCTAATATAATGCACAAAGTGAGGGTTAGAATGAAAACTATAGGGTAAGCACATAACAGTAACCATTTTTGCTAATTCTTCACGATCTCTATTTGGATCGTAATATAAAATGCCACCGGTCACAGTGTTAATTCCTGGTTGAACTAGATTTGAACTTGTACAAGGGTTAACCGTAGTATCTACACTTGTCCCCTCTAGCTGCGCTTTCATTTGTAAAAATCTAGCTTTATCTCTAGGGTGTGTCTTTATGTGTCTAGTCAAACTACCCGTACCGCTACGGTCTCCAGTAAATTTATGCGCCAGCAAACCCCCACAAGTTTTACACTTAGCCTTATTTTGTTCTTTTACTTGAGTAAAAAAGTTCCAAACAAGTGATGTTTCGGGGCGTTTAGCAGGTTGTCTATTAAAAGTAGGGGTTACTACAGGAGGGTCAGACGGAGTATCAGTTGGATTATTAACAGGACTAGTAGGTGTATCATCTAAATCCGGTTGCGTTTCATCTAAATCATAATTTTTCTCATTATTTTCAAAGATAGTTTCATTAGGATAAAGAGCATTCATAACTTCTTCATTTAGTTGTTGACCTGGTGCAACATTATGGCAAAATTGACTATCGGAAAATTGAAAACAAGGGTTATCACTAGCAAGAATAACAGGTGGAGGAGGACGGGTAATAGGTCTGGGTCGGGGAGCCGGGGGAAGAGTAGCAGCTTGG